ACTCCGAATTTCTGGGTACCTCAGTTATGGCAGTCTCTATCTTAGAAAGCTTAGACCTAGATATACTGGCCAAAGTGGTTTCAGAGTCTCAGATCTCAGAGAGTAGCTGGCAAAATCTCAGAGATCCTGGTCATTGCCATAGCACAATGGCACAACTACAGTGTGGGTTCTTCCCTGCTGAGACTCTATAATGATCCTTCCCAAAAGAAACTTCCTTCAAGAATAATTTATACCCTACAACTCATCTTTAAGTTTATCACTGAAATTTCCAACAAGGATGTTGGTTGGTGCCAAAACCACAGTGGTTTCTATGATGTGGGTGCCTCTGTGCAGAAAGAGCAGAAAAGCATTTTCACACAGGCACCAAACAGTGACCAGATGACACTAAGTATTATCCACTTCAAACCTAGATCATATTCAGATTCCTGGAGATGGCACCGTAGTAAGTCAGTCAGTCCAGAACTAGAAGTTGCTTTTTTTTTAATTGCTCAAATGATGGATCATTTCCATCAGAAAAGACTGAGTGTGAAGGTCTTTTATCCATATATGACTAGTACACTACTTTTTAAAGCAGACTGTTGAACTCACACAAAGAAACACAAACTTATGAGAATGAAATTAAGCTTGACCATGATGAATAACTAATTGACACTCTAGCATATCAACTCTACTATTTAGGAGAATTTAAACTGAGACTTTAAGGTCAGGAAACACGCAAAACTAGTGTCTGCCTCCAGAGGCAAATGACTCAGACTAAAGGTCAACTTAAGTTCCAGTCTTGCTGTTTTTTAAATGGAATCTCTATGAGTAAGAACTGACCCTACATAACCTACAAATAACATAATTCTTATTTCCCAGAGCTCTGGTAGCGTAGTGGTTACGAATCGGGCTGCGAACCTTAAGGTCAGCGGTTCGAAACTACCAGCTGCTCCGCGGGAGAAAGATGAGGCTTTCTACTCCCGTAAAGATTTACACCCTCAGAAACCCTATACAGGGTCGCTATGGGTCGGAACCGACTCGATGGCACATAACAACAACAACAACATAGTCCTATACTATAGTGGTTATGAATTGGGCTGCTAATCTTATGGTCAGCAGTTGGAAACTACCATCTGTTCCATGGGAGAAAGATAAGGCTTTCTGCTCCCATAAAGATTTACAGCCTTGGAAACCCTGTACAGGGTCACTACGAGTCGGAACCGACTCATGGCACACAGCCACCACCATAGTCCTAGACTAACAGACTCTTGCTTTTCTACTTTGTACTTAATTGCTAGTCCATTCTTTACTTCTTCACTGGCCTAATATTTTTGGCTCAGTTGGTTCCTACTTTCAGTATACCTGAAGCAGGTTGTGTATGTCAAGCCCTGCACAAATGACTCTGTCCAAGGAAGAAATGAGCACTACTGTTCTCCCCAAATATTGTGTATTGGCCTAGAACTACATTGACCCCAACAAAGGGGTTCCCTCCCCTAGTTCATTTATCCTGAAGAGGCCCTTCCCATAAAAATACAGCAGAAAATAACCATAGTCCTGTCTGTTCCTTGTTCACTTGTACTTTGCTTTTCCGACTTGCTTTCCATGATCCAGAGTCATTGAGTGAACATGGAATGAGAACTGTTTTCCTTACAGAGAATTTTAGGCAGCATTTGTTGTTGTTGTTAAGTGCCGTCGAGTCGATTCTGACCCATAGCAACCCTGTATATGGTTTCCAAGAAGCAGCTGTGAGTTTGAACCACTGCAAATGGCTTTGCAGTCTGATGTATTAGCCCACAGTGCCAAACCAGGACTCCATTCTACACTCAACCCATTGCAATCAACTCATGTTGACTCATGGCAACATAGAATTGAAAATCTATAGGGTTTTCTTGGCTGTAATTTTTACAAGAGCTAATTGTCAGGTTTTATTTCCATGGTACTGCCAGGTGACTTTGAACCAACAACATTTCAGTTAATAGCAAAAAGCAAACTATTGTGATGCTCAGGAACATAAAATAATATTTATTTGATTAAAATATACATAAAGTCATATGTACAAAACTTAGTAGTGTTGTAGTGAAGAATACACTCATTCGATAAAAAAAAAAAGAATTTTAAAGAATTTATTCAGGAAAAGAACAAATTGTTACATCCAGATGTAGGAAGACATCAGTCTGTACAAGTGAGAATTGATGATTTCAAGTAAAATATTCTCACACAGATAGATACCATGAAACAAAGAAATTATAATACCATTTTTCTGTTGTTAATTTTTGGTTGAGGTCACAGTAGGATGGGTTAGGGTTGAGAAAGGTTTATAAAAGGACCATAAAGCTTACAATCATAGAATTAGAATGCTTTCAATGTATACTTTCAGAATCGGTCATATAAATGTATGAGTTTATGGAAGACATCCTTTGAGGCTAGGGCTGGTAATAAGAATTAACAACAAGACTCTTTAGAAATTGTTTGCTTGAGTGAAATCTTGGTTGTCTAGAAAACTTAGTTAACAGTTCAAGGATGTTTCTTGAGATCTTTCTTTTTAAGTTTTTATTGTGAATTGAGTGAAAGTTTATAGGGCAGATCATCAGTTTTACATTCAACAAGTCATATACGTTGTTTTATTACAATGGTTATAATCCCCTCCATGTACCATCAGTTAACAGAGTTTCTCTCTATTCATTTTAGTTTGTTGTTTTTTTTTAAACAGTCAGGCATATATAATCATTAAACCACCAAAGGGCACATTCTGCAAGCCTTCTTCCTGGCAGCCAGCTCTCAGTCCCTCTCTTTCCATGAATCTGGAGTCCTCAGCTGCTCCCTCTCTCCATGTCCCCATCTCTGCCTCTGTCTCTGGTGTTGCTGCTTCTCTAGATAAGGTCCCACATTCCACTTGTGCTCTTCTCCCTTGATGGTCCTAGGATCCTCTGTTTCTGTCAGATTAACTACTTCCCCATTTTTGTTACAAAGCTTCTACCTTTACCATTGTGAAAGTCACAATTAGTCATGATAACTATTACTCACCATTGAATCATAAGAATCTTATCCTCCTCTTTTTACCAGACCTATCTAGACAAGATGAAAACTAGTCAATGGGGATTCTGTTTCTGCCCCCCCCCCACACACACACACACTCTTAAACTAAACTCCCTCTTGAAACCTTGTAAACCAATCACTTTGAGTCTTTATCACACCCTCATTTTAGGTAGCCAATGTCTAAGTTGCCCATCCCTATCTACCCTATATACAGAGGGGATAGCATTGATACTTGATGTGAAGACTCCTTCCCTATCAGTTGGTATTTTGAGCTACTATCTTCATGAGTATAGGTCAAGTCATCAAATTGTAGCAATTTACCCTCATTTCCTTTATCAAAAATTGGTGGGATTTTTTATTTTTTTTTATTTTTTTGTCTTGTTTTTAATCTTCCTCTGGTCAAGTTCTGATTATCAAGGCATCAAAGCTAGGTCAAATGGGTACTGTCTACAAGTTTGGGTGTTCTTGTGCATCCACCCTCACTTCATATCAGCTGGAGCTTCACTCTCAGCTCTAGCCCTCTATGGCTATGTCCTTGTTCATGGGCTCAAGTGTCCCCAGGTCTCACTACACTTTGGGCCAACCAGCCCTTCTCTTCTCTCTCTCCTCTCTGTGGTTGAACTCAGCCAATTTCTTCATTGCTGCCTTTCCCCCTCTTCCTCTCACCAGTAGACCAATGTGGTCACCAGCAAGCTTACATGTCTGCTCATGTGTTCCCTTTGAGTTTCCATCTTAGAGTGGGGTTTGTCCTGAAGGGACTTGATTGCTGTCTTTGATGGCTTCCCAGCAAATAGCTTGCTTATTCTAGTAGTAGCAAGTCATACTACCATTTTTGTTTAGGGTTTTTCCTGATGATCTTTCTTTGAAGATGTCTCTTCTGTTTGTCTAGCTGTTCCAGGCTGGCCTGCTTGCCCTTGCTAGTGGGAATGTCCCACCTCAGAAGGTTCTAGATGGGGCTCAGGATTCCACCTAAAATTTTATATTCTGCAAATGCTCCACAAGAGGCCTATTTCACTGGACAAGTTCTAGAACCCCTTTTAGGTATTTTAATCAGTTACAGGCTGTTTCTTGAGATTTTTTTCTTTATATTTTAACCATGAAAGGAATATTTCTTATGGTCATTTTGCACTAATGTATCTGTGTTAAAACCCCTGAGGTAGGGTGTATTTTTCCTAGTTTGACTACAAAGAAAATATTCTCTTAGTTGTTTATGGCTTCTAGAATACACCCAGTTAATAGGAGCTTCTCAGAAGAACAGACATTTAGTACCAAATAAGCAGTTGGATAAAAATGAACTAACTCAACAAAAATGGATTTATATTTAAGTTTGCAATTTTGTTCAAAAAGAGCTTTATGAATTTCGCTTTACAGTAGACATGACAGTTCACAGCCACAAGACAGAAGTGACTGTACCTTCTGACTCTGCTCATACCAACAGGAACATGTTAGGGGATATGTACAATGTTTTAGAGAATTTGTCTTCTCTGGGTCCACTCCAAGGAACCTTGGTGGGATAAGCTCTAGACTGCTAACCACAATGTTGTGTGCCATCAAGTTGGTTCCAACTCATAGCAATCTGGTATCAGGTTTCTGAGGAATAACTGATGGACTTGTACCATCCACCTTGTGGTTGGTAGTCCAGTACTTATCATACAGCACCACACCAGGAGTCTTAGACAAATCCAGCAACCAATCCATGGAGGGAGATGAGTCTTTCTGCTCCCATAAAGACTTATGACCTCAGAAACCCTATACAGAGTCCCTATGAGCCAGAATTGACTCAACAGCAGTGGGGTGGGAGGTCTACTTGTAAAAACCAAAGGTTCTAAGCTGCAGCCTTAATTTTATCCTAGTGTGTGACAAGCTTGCTTGATGCTGGCAGAAGACATGTTCAATTTTACATCATTCCAATTAGTGCTGTGGATTCTATCCTTCATCTCTACTATCATATATGTGAAGGGGGGGTCTTTGAGCACCTGTTGCCACTATTTCTTAGGTTGGGAGCACCTCCTAGTGGTTTCTGACTTACCAAGTCCTTCCTAATGAAAATATCATTGGGGTCATTCTGAGATGATTTCATAGAAATTCTTGAGTTTTTTACAGGCATGTGGTAACGTATTTGTGTCCAAAATCTGGAACTGGGAGGAATTGATTTTAAGCCTTTCCAGGTGATGGTAGGCAAAACACAGAGAGCTTTTTTCACAAGATGAGGTAGAGACTCTGGTTCTTTGAAGGAACAGAAGTTAATTAGAATTAGTTTCAGTGTTTGATCAGTCAAGGCAAGATTCACTGCTGCTTGAAGTTCAAAGACGCTGGGTCCATTGACATAGTTGGGGCTCAAGATAAATATTCCTCTTCTACTTTTCTTAATAATACGTATAATGTCTTCTGCATACACTAGGAAAAAAAGAATTTAATTACTTGTAAATTGTCATCATTAAACTTTGAATTACAAGAAGTTTGATTATCACAATCCATCCAGAGAGCCCCTTGCTATGCAAGCTTATGAGTAAGGAGGAGAGAAAACTTTGTTTACTAGATCATTTTTTTAATCGACAGTTGAAAATGTATTCTAACATCTAATGACTCTCAATTTTATATTCCTTTCCTTGTATTCTGTCTCCCCACATTGTCAGTTCCACTAGGAGCAAAGTTTTTGGCACAAGGTAACTGGGAGATACAGAAAGGACAGAATGTCTCAAATTCCTTGGAAGTGCTATCTGGGAGGCAGCATCAGGACTGGACATCTCACAGATTGATCGGAGTATGGTCAGGGCCTGGGAGCCTGCTTGATCCAGGGCTAAGTGTTCCCCACAACTAAGCTAGAAGTATAGGATACTGTCTCCAGTAAGCAGGAAACCACTTGTGCAGGGTAACAGAGGCAATTCCTTAACAAGGAACCAGGATCTTTGGGCTGGAAGGCATCCCTAAGACCCAATATTTTTGTTCTGAGATGGTTTTGTGTATATGTGTGTGTATGTGTGTTTTGAGGATGGGTTATGTCTACGGAACACATCTTTTTCTATGCTATTGCCCAGGATGTTCTAACCTCATAAAACCTTCCCAATATTGTATATCCCAATAGAAAGAATAACCAAAAAATTCCAGGAGATCTTACATATAACTATCCCTTTTGCTCTATATTATGTTTTGGCGTATAGATTTTACCTCCTCCTGGGACCACATCTCTTTCTAATAAACACAATGTGTATCCATGTTTGTTTTCCAGAACTTCAGGCAGAAGATTAATAGCCAAGTTTTCCTCACTCAGAGATGAAGTGAATTCACTCTCCAATGAGCTCCATTTTGCATAGGATACAAAAGCATCAAATTCCTTTTTATCTGAAAAGATAAACAATCAAAAATGATTAGTTATACTATGGTGATACACATACATATACTTTACATGTATAATAAATGAATAAAAATTAAGGTTTAAGATTTTCATTGAATTTTTTAGTTTTCTTTAAAAAAGAGGAGCTGTATCAATTTTAAAAGTCATGCTGCAGAGTAGTACTGATTGCCTATACAAAGCATAATTCTAATTTATGAAGTGACTTCAGTTTTACTTCGATTATATCAAATGTCTGGGGCCTACTATGAAGCCCTATACAGGGAAGCCCAGTCAATACCACTATTATTCAAATTTATGCAACAACCACTAAAGCCAGTGAAGATGAAATAGAAGAATTCTACCAACTTCTTCAATCTGAAATCGATCAAACATGCAATCAAGATGTGTTGCTCATACTGG